TTGACACGCGTACTAGGTACATTCTGTGTAGATATTTTACATGGCGCAACGTTCTTCACTGAGACAGAAGGAAATCGAGTTTTATATTTTATCAGACGATTTCTTTGAGTTTTCTCTGATGCAGCTTTTGTTGACATAAATAATAAAACATTTTTTTCGTGGACAATATTTATTAATATCTATTGATCTGTATATTCATTGAAAACTAGCAATCATTGAATATTATATCACTTTTGTAAACTTCTTATTTTTTTAAATCAAAACCAACCAAGAAATAAATACTTATCGTGTAAATGGAATTTATTGATATATAGATTTATGAGATTTTACGATGTTTTTAGCGATTTATATATAATTATTTTTGTAACTTAATTTGTATGAAATTTCTTTCTTCTATTCTATTATTGACATTAAGAAAATAACATGTTTTGAATTATTTGAAGAGGACATTAAATTTTTATATAGCTTTTTAATAATACGTACAACAAAATAATCATCTTCTATATATGTGTATCACAGATTTTAATTTATTGAGTGATAAGTTAGATTTCAATAGAAAACTATGAATTGAGGAAAAGAAGACATGTTTTAAAATAATTCATGAAAGATGTAAGAGTTTTTAAAGTATTATTTAAAGTACAAATACACAAACACATGTATTCATAAATTCTTTCATATTGAGGGTGCATCGACATCGGCCATCGTCGTGCCCATCGTATGCCAAGCACCCCTCAATAACCTCGATACAAAATTCTTTTCACATTGCCTTCAATGGCTAGAGATATAGGAAATATATGAAAGGCTCACCGTCCGGTTCAACCGTTGCAATGTTGGCCGAGGCTTTTTCTCCCAAACACACGAGTGCCGTTTGCGAGGGGCCTATAAGCTCGGATCCCCTCTCTGTAATGAAACATAAATTATTCAATCGAAATCAGCTGCGGACTACCGAGCGTCGGCGTCTACCACGACGCCGGTACCTTCCGGTCAAAAGCGGCGCTTTAAACCGAAACCCTCGATCCTTTCCGCGAGGAAGGCGATGAAAGCGAAGCGGCCGCAGCAGACCTTTGCTTTTTTTATACATGTATTTTGAACGTTTCTATTTTTTTCCTCGGAACTGAATATCGTCTGGTGTACGCGCCTTCAGTTTTTCCTTGAACAAGCAATTGGAAAATTCCGGCTCTCCATTCTACAATGAATTTTCTCGTTATTGAGATCAAGCAGAGATAATATATCGGGATTCGTTTTATTTAAAGAGTAGATTTTTTTTGGAGAGTTAATAGTAAGTTAGATATTGCTGTGCGAATGAAATTATTCGTTATACAATTCTAAACGAAGAATGATGATAATATTATAATCATCTTTACTCTTTACTCTAAACACTTTTAACACAATTTTACTAAAGAATACGTTTGAAGTAAATAACGAAGCGATTTGTATCTTGAAATAAATGACTCCTCGGGGAGAAAGAAATTTTAATAACGTGTTTCCATTACGCCTGTAAAATATATTTTACTTTTATTTCACGTAAGGCATCGAAAATAGAACTATACGCTTCTCGCGAATCCCTGAGGACCTCTCCCGATTCCACTTCCGGAACGGGCACGCGCTTTAAAACTGAATGTACGACTCAATTCCGGGCGTGTCGACACGCGCGTCGGTGTCGATGGGGAATAGAAGACGTTTAGGTGAGGCCGTCAAATAAAATACACACTCGTCCCATGTGAAGGGAGTGACATGTAACTCTGGTCGCGATCCTTTCGCGGAGGCCTTGTGTGCGTACATGCACATCCTGCAGACGTACACGCACCTCGCGCCAGGAATCGAGGCTAACATGGTCACGCAATTAGCAAAATATGACAATGAATATTTCCTGGGGAAGTATCCGGTAATGGAGACACGTATCACGCTAACTCTACGCAGGAAATAATCCTTTTATGATTTTAAGAGAATCAACGTTTTTTTTTTCATGCTGTATCTATTATACGTGCTAGAAACTATTTTCTTCTCCCTCACGATTGGATAAATATCAGGCGTATGTTGTAGTAACAAGAGATTTGAACAAGCAAAAGAGATTGGACATGTGTGAGACTAATTGAGGATGCGTGGAGGACATCTTGGAACTCTCCAAGATTGCGATTTGCTACGTTGATTCAAGTTGCGAACTCCCACGCGTTCTGGCAGCCTAATTAAGCGTCTATATACGAAAGACGGGTTAGAACAACGTTCATTGCGAATCAATGTTTTGTTTGGAGGGCATTGTGTATGTTGTTTGGTAGAGGAAACATCTGAGGATGCGTGACATTTTTGATTACGCAGAATTAATTTCGTGTGACAACACACACGAATCGGAGACAATATTTTCGCGTTAATTTATGCGAGGTGTAACTAATCACATTATGCAAGATTTCACGTGTTCTGTTTAACGTAATGCTACTTTTCTGTAATGTCATATTTTGGAAATTACGTTCGATGTTATTACATAACAGAAAAATACTTATTGTACATCGCTGTGTTTAAGTTACATGAAAATTCTTAGGATATTCTATATACCTATTCACCTATCTATTCAACATTACAGTAAATTTAATTATTTTAATATGGATATGTTACACTTTTTTTAAATATCTTATAAAGTTTCGCCGCGTTTTCATATAACAGCATTTATCGCTTATATGGTAATTATTATCTTTGCTGGCAAATTGCCGTCAAATTGCCGTCAAATTGCTAGAATTTATTTACGCACGTTCATCTTTTGTGAGCAGTATAATTATATTCTACTTATTCTCACTCCCGTTTCATAATTACTACGCGAGCGTGTCGATCTATTGTAATGCTCGATGCGGCTCATCGCCGGGGAACGAAAGAGCGAGCAATGTTGCTCCGGTTGGTCGGGAAGGCGCGTATAGATTTTTATGCAAATTCTATTGATATCCGATCGTGGCCGACGATAGCGCACGGAACATGCACGTCCCACGATGGTGGCGGTTAGTCAGAAAATAGCCCTACCTAGCCGCGTCCGTTCGGGTTTGCAACCCCCGCGATTGCTCGTTGCTGTTCGAGAAACGGTCGTGATTCGTTGGAGCCCCTTTGCGTCTCACGATCCAGCTTTAACGAGGGCGAGGTAGGGTAAATCGCGATTAACGCTGTTTCTTACTACCCCTTCTCCCGTCAACCTCTGGACGAGACACATCACACAGCAGCAATCCCAAGCACGTCAACTTCGCGACGACCTTTTATCAAATGTATGTGTTTTAGAAATTACACGTGCCGTCGGATTTATCGAGCGTAATGCGACTGGAATAAATGGAAATTAAAAAGCGCGCTCGCATAAAATGAGGCACTAGCGAGCGGTGTAAAGAGTGAAGCTCAAAAGGTAAGCTGCGCGAGTTAAGAGGGCGAGCAATTCTGCAAATATGTTTGAATCCGATGGTCTCTCTTGCATGTTTACACTAACATACGTAAATTGAACGTCTCCTTGTTCGGTGGACGTGCGTGCAATGAGAGGTGCGTGACCTGAGGTACACGATTACCGGTTGGCGCGAAACTCGGACCGATTTGAAATATAACCTACTCGTTATTAATAAAATTTGCATTTACAAGGGCGAAAAGGTGTCACGGCACGCCACGCGCGGGAGCGACGGAATACCTTTTCTATCTTTAATGAGGTTTTTCTTGATTCGAAATTAATGATCTGCTATTTTCTTTTTAAAAGATCGTATCAAGAGATTCAAGTAAAATAAAACTAAAAAAGTACGTTATCGATTAATAGTAACTATTTTATACTTAATTCCGGATTTTAGTCTCTAAATTCTACTCTAAGTCATCTTTTTCTTCGTTACCTACATCAGAACACATTTATGTATTAAATCACTTAACTTTATTCGTAGAGTAATGAAAGCCTATCTATTACTGGCAGATTTAGTATCAAGTTTTATCCGCGGTAGCAATCGCGATCCTATATTTTTAAATAAATCCAGCAGTGGATCCACGGATACACGTTCGTTTAGCGCTGAACCTCGGCGAGTTCGTGGGGTTTGATTACTTGTTATCGAGGTAACTCAACCGTCGTCTGGCATCTGATAAAGGCCCGCGAGTAATTATTAATCATAGACCGGGCAGTATAACGATCCATCCGAGTCTTATCTCGGTGTCGAGTGATGTATGTACGTGGCCGAGGTCTACGCCACAGCGCGAGGGCTAGCGGGGTTGTGCATCGTCTAGAAGGGCGGTGATGGTGGTGGTGGCGGCAGCGATGATGGTGGTGGTGTTGTTGCTTGGTGAGTTACTTGCTCGCTCGCTTAGCTCCCGGCTAAGCGGGGGTTGCAATACTTTACCAAGATAACAACTAATAATCGATAGTGGCATTGCCAGGTACGTAGCCAGGTACACGTACGTAAGTAAGTACAGTCCCTTATTCGTTTCCTCTACCCTTTCTCCGTCTTGCCTCCCGCCGTCGCGTCATTCGAATCGGTGGGTAGTCTCGCCTTTTAACCACCCATAACCACCCAACGACGGCATGCAAGACGCTCGTAGGTCAAAGGTTGCGCACTCCGACTACTCTGTGAATTATCGTGAGCTTAACTGTTACCTCGCCTCTGGCCGAATGAACAGTTCGAATACGACGTATCTTTCGCGGGAATGCAATTTTCGTGGGAATGAGAGGGAGAATGTAATTTTCCCCTGTAACGTGTGTATCGTACGTAGAGTGAAATACTCGCCAAGCCGACATGCTATAAACTTCTTCGAAGATATACATATATGTCTAAATATTAGATCAAGTGCTATGCGTTTTTATATATCCAAAAGTGAATAATTATAATTATTTATTGCGTAGCATGTAGAACAAATTTATTACTTATTATTAGAGAAAGCAATAAAGAGATATTATATTAAAACATAAATTAATCGTGAATAAAATTTTATATATATTAAGATTAATATTTTGTCTCTTTAATCAATTTATAATATATTTATGCATATTTATTTTATTATTACAAAAGGCCCAAACAACAGTCCAAACACAAGGATGAAGCACGCGATTGGAACGACATGGAAAGGAGTAAGGCTCAACAAGGTGCAACGATCTGTAAGGTAGGATAGCTAGTATCGCCACGCGAGATAAAAAGTATTACAATCGAAGACATGCAATATGCTTATCGTCGACTGATCAACAATAAAATGTAAAATTTAAACCAACAATTATCTCATGCCGTGTATCTGACTTGCTCGTCAACGGGTCGCATCTGACTTCCTCGTACCCTTCTCTTGTATTACGTATCGCCAACGTTGCCGCTATCGGCCCTACCACGACCCGCGACCGGTTCAATAATTAATACATTGACGACATCGTATCGTTGCTAGGCGATTATTTTACAAAACATCATGCTCGTCGAAACGATCGCACTGTAAATACATTTGAGTCAATAAAATTGTACCAATTTTGAAGAAAGTAATTATAGCTTCACGAATTGCTCAATTTAATATAAATTGCTTGACAAAATGAAAAATAATTTGTGCGATATAATAAATTATAATTATACGACAAATCGCGGTATTATTTCGTCCAAACAGTATATTGCATGCTTTTATATAAGTTAAAATTTTATGACAAGATTTATTGCATCTGACGTATTTCATATAAACAATATGCGGACGTATGATAAGTATATTGCGACGTTTCTCTTCCACATCGAGTGTCACCGGCCTATTTGCATTCCAGTTCAACCGCAATGAAAGGCAGCTCGAATAAGGATTCCAATAAAATGTTTGGGGAGGTTTGCTTTAGGCGGGTGGTTCGGGACGTGGAACGTGGAATTCGATATTACAGCGTTACTCTGTAGTTCCGTATATGTTCTCTCGTATCTGCACGTCAACATAAATTGTCCCTTCCCGTCTCTATGCCGTTCGAGAAGGAATTTTTCTCTTCGTATCGCATATTTCCGAACGGAGCGTAAGGTTAGGTGAATAAGATGCTGAATATTTTTATATGTCTTGCGTGACAAAATTAATTTATGTATTTTTTAAATATTTTTATAATCGTTATATGAATCTCTCATGTCAAAAGATACTCGAATGAAGTTTCACATTTTTGAAACAGATACTAGAGATCAACTGAAAATGTATTTAATTGTTTGCTGAAGTTGAATGATTACTCTTGTAAAATCTGATATCATTCAAGTATTGCTATGAAAATTTTCACAATGCTACATAATGATATTTATTGGCTCTTACATTATTAAACGTTTTCATTTCAAATGATACAGCTGCTCGATGAATGAAATAGACTATGAAAAATAAAACCAAAACTAGCTTATATATTTAATTGGAGTAGGTATAACTCTATCTCATTTTTCTCGTATGTACTTATTTTTTTGTGACAGTCATAATATGAGATTGTTTATGATATGCTTGGCAACTTGGAATATGATCGTTATACTTATCCGTTATCATTATCATGTCTAACGAACAGCGGCGCGCTAAGAACCCCTCGCGTCTATACAGCTCGCTGAAACGATAGTAATGAACCGCGCTTAGGAGAGTAATCGTAATATTCGCACGCTTTCCAAATGCGTCCTTTCGAGTTTCGTGCGCTAAGAACGTAGAACCCTTAGGTCCCGTGGGGTGGCTCTACTTTACGATCTGCTCGTCCGCGTGCTTCGCACAAAGGACTGCGCTACCTCGTTACGGGGGGACCAGTTAGAATAAAGTGTGATTAGGACGATAGTTATGGCATTTTGTATTATAATTCCGCGAGGGTAAAGCTCAGCCTTCTTGCCCGCCAGCTCCGCCACGTTCATTCTCGAAGGAGCTGTTAAAGCCTTGCCAAGTTTTCGATTCGAGGTAACGTGAATTCCGTGATCGCTTGAGATTCGGCTTTACTTGCATGCGCAACCGAGATAACATGAGCTTTAACTTTACGAAATCAGTTCATAACTTTATTTTTGAATGAATTTCATGACGCGTGTTTTAGTGCGTTCAATTTTTATGTAGCATGTTTGAAATTCAAAACGTTAATTATTTTATAGCAATGTTATATTTAAATAAATGTTATACATATGAAAATTTATTAATTTCACGTATTTTTAAAAGTATACAAAGTTTTTTTCTACAATAAAGTAATAATAAAATTTTTTTCTATTGTTTTCAACGTTTCTATAATGTATGAATTAGTCTCTTGAATTTTAGAGCCTCAACGAAGGTACATTTGTTAAGGAAAAATGTTGGACAGTGATTCATTGAGACGCCTTCAGCGGCACAGGGGTTAGTCATTCGTTTTCGTGGGGGACAATCGAAGTTCTGGCGAAGTTAATCAATCGATCCAGAAGACCCGTGAGAATTGAGTAGGAAGTGGGCAGCCGGTGGCTGCCCGTATTTGATTGTTTAATTAGCAAGATGACCCGGTCGTATTCCGGCAGGGATTCTCGAAGGAGCTCAAGCTAAACGGGAAGGAACGTCGAGGGGGAAAAGGCGGAGAGTGTCTCTAGAACAAGGTGAGAGAGAAAGAGGATCGGAATGGAAGGATAGAATGGAACGCGAGAAAACCGAAGACACCAGAAGGAGATACAGTCAGCGGAGCGAGTCAGCGGAAAGCTGATGCGATAGTGGGAAAGAGAGAGGAGGATATGTGCTTCCAAGAGATACAGTCGCCGGAACTCTGGCGAGCGAGAGGACGGGAAGGAGGGAGAGAGAGAGAGAGAGAGAGAGAGAGGGTGAAAGGAGGGCTAGAGATTTCTGGTGTATAGGGGTATTAATCCCTATCCTCAATTACCCTTTGTCTTGGGCGCAGCTTGGTCCACTTGTTAAGACACCGCCACTGTTTGTCTTGAGGAGCAGGTAAGGGCGCCCCCGGAGCGGTCGCGGAGGTCTGCCGGCTGTTTCGGTCGCTGCTTTACATACGTCCGTGAGACCGGAGACGAACTGCTACCGGGAAGGACTACTGATCGTTGCGGTCTCGCCTCTGCCCTTGATAGAAGTTCGCCGGCAAAGTTCCTGCCTCGCGGCCGCCTTAAGGGATACCGCTCGCGCCACTGATATCCTTACTCTCGCGTGATCCGCATCCTTTTCGTGGACTCGAGCGATCCTAGTGCTAACTTTCCTTGAGATGTATTAGCTTGAATCTTATTCCTAAAAATGGCAGAAATGTTAAACATTTGATACTGTAAATCATTTTGATAAAAATATTTTGATATAGACGTTTTAGATTTAAAAGATTAAAAAAAGAGCTTGTATTATTGCTGAAATTCAATTTTTTTTTTGCAATTTTATTGAGAGTTTACTTTTGCTCATATTCATATACTTAAAAGAAAAATTAAAAATTTATTTTTTTAATTATGTTACTTGAATTTCATTAATTAGTAACATTAGTAGTTATACTACAAAGTTTATATAATGTGCTATAAAAATTCTTTGTATTCTCTTTCCACTTCTCTGTCTCTTTCACTTGTCGCGGTTTGATACTTCTTTGAAATTCAATAAAAAGAGAAAAAAAGATAAAAAGAAAAACTGTGAGTTGTCTCATTGAATTCGGTAAGGTCGAGATACAAGTTGAGAGGTTCAACGGAAGTCCGCTACCTCCAATTTGTCCCGAGGGCAGGGAGCAAAGAGAGTGGCGTGAAAACCGAAAGAGTCGACAGGACGGCAGATTTATCCACGTCGTGGTAATTTCCTCAGATTTTCCGCCCGTATTATTTGTTCGACATCGGGCCGGCAACGAGCACGGAGCGGCAGAACGAGGGGTGCGTCGTCCGTTTCTTTACACTACGAAGAATATCAATTGTTAGAAATACAAAGGGTGAGAGAGCGAAGCGGGGTTGAAGGGGTGGAGAAATCGTCTTCGTCGTTTGGGGTAAGGAGGAACCACCGGCACCGCGCGGTATATAGACGAGGGCGGCATGGGGTGGGCGCAGCCTGTGGCACACCACCCCTGTACAAACCAAATTCTTAAGAGAATTTAACCGTTTGAATAGCTCGCAAATCCATTGCAAATGTTTACACGGGATTGGCGCGCGGGCGGACTTCCTTCTCTTTCTGCTCGATTCCACCGGCAATCGCGATATCTGACTTCCTGCCTTTGGGACTCGAAGGCATTCGGTCGAGCTTCCTAAGATTTCTGACACGCGTTCGTTTCGTGTGCTCGATTGTACTTGTACGAACGATTTAAGCTCGTTTTCCTTCCGAATTATTTATAAATACATAAACTTGTTGTAATAACGTACTTAAAGCTTAACTTAAAATCTTTGAATTTTTATTACTTCACCTAAAGAACTTTTTTTTCTATTAAAAAAAATTTATTAATTCTATATTAAGAAGATTAATAAGAAAGTTCTTCTAGAAAAGTTTACATTTCTCACTTTTTCTTTCTCCTCCCTTTTTTTATTTTTCTCTCTCTTTCTCTCTTCTCATTGAAACTTTATTTAATATGCGGAAATATATGAAGAAGTATATTACTTTAACACAGAAGCACCATGGAAAAGATTATCTAGAAAATTATGTAAAATAAAAATAATCTTATAATGGCTCAATAATAATAAACAATAAATAACAAGAAGGGGCTACAAGTCAGATTTTTATGTGTCTCAAATTCTTAGAACATACATTTCGATCTTATTATTAAGTCATCTTCAATGTAAAGAAATTAAGCGCAAATTTGATAAAAATTAATAAAACGGTAAAAATTACAATTTAATTACGCAAAAAATTGATAGTATTTATTCTATCTATCTTCCGCACAATGCAATGCTTTTCGTTCTGGTAATATTATCGGTTATATTCTTTCATTATAACAGTCGCAATAAGTCCGTAATGATAAAAATATTGAACATGATGAGTCATTAAATAAAAATATACCAGCACACATTCTGTTATCAAATTAATAAAATAGATTATAAAAATTAAAATAACAATGAATGATCGTTATATTCAAAATTATTAGTATATACAATTCTTATTTTAATAGACAACTATATTAAAGTGTATGTTAATAAATAAAGTTATTGTACATATACCTAGAATTTGAAATACATATAAATCTGGCTTGTAGTCTCTTCTTGTTATTTATTAGAAAATTATATTTGTGTTTAAAGCATACACTG